GGAGGTAGAACGCCCCCCACCCCCCTTGCCCAACTCCACTGCAGCACTTTCAGATTTGATCCTGGCGTTTGAGAACATTTCAGAAGGCACAGTTCCTTTTCATTCTCTGAAGCAGCTTAGTGCCCCCTTCCCAGGCCCCTAGCCTGGAATGCACAGGCAATAATGTTTATTGCCATAGGTAAGGAGGGAAGCAAAAAATGAGAACAGCAACAACTACGACCCTTGGTGTTGTCCAGAACTGGAAACAGATGCGACCTTCATGTTGTCAAACTGCTACTTCACATGCTTGTCAAGAGTCTCCTCTTTAATAAGGAAACAACTTGGTCATCAACAAAGTTAAAGGTCTTGATCAAGAACACAAAAAAATTGGCAAATCACGACTAGCAGCGCCTCCTCCAGACTCCCTTCCTCCAACTGTTTACCTTCCAGGCGGGCACACTGCCCCCTGCACGGTACGTTGCACCGCTGTACAGTGCACCAGGCCCCTTCCAAGCTGTGCCTCTTTACGGTTTTGGCCAAGCTAGAGCTCTTGCAAAAATTTCTCTCTTTCGGTTACCTTGTTCTTCTCCCATTCACTTCTCCCTCTGTTCCCAATTTCCAGTCTCCAGCTTTCAGTTCATTTCAGTGTTTTCATGTCTTTTTCTTTATTATTTTTCTGAACAAATATGCACCAAGCCTTTAGGCAATGGAAATATATTGATGAGTGTGTTGGGGGGAGTTCTGATGTTTCTGCAGCTTTGAAATGGCGAGAGGTCAAGAGGGAGTCAGCATGCGGAGAGTTTGTATCTCGCATCTTTTCTGGAAACAATAGCCTGCTCCCGCGGCTCGGTGCTCTTGGCGCCGCCCAGTGGAAGGAGGCGGCTTTGCACCTCATTCTCATCAGCTGCCATTGTCGCCCGTGGACCCGCGGAAGTGTGCAAATTAAATGGAGGAAGGGCAGTAACACCAGCTCCAAGCTCATCATAGCCTTCCGGGTACATTTCTACAACGTTAAGTCTCAGTTCTACTTTAAACACAGTCTCAACTACCAGTGAAAGTGGCCACGGAGGCTGCATCAAGGAATCGAACTGGTGACAATAAGTGAGTGTTCTAATCGTTCTCTGAGCTTGAAAAACAGCATCTTTAGGGAGAGGGCACGGCGCGTCCATCAGAGCTGGGAGGAAAAGTTTGTTCTCAATTTGACAAGCAATTGCTAAGGGACAGAAATTCAAACATCCTTCAAAAATTAGTTTTTCCTTCTCTTTCTTCCTTTCTTTTTCTGTCTCTCTCCTTACCTCTTTACTTCCTTCCCTCTCACCCTTCCCTTTCTTAGTAAAAAATTGCCCTAATGAGATAGATCATTTTCCAGCTGACATCAGTTGAGGCACTCTGTTAAAAAATGAAATAGTGATTAACCAACCCCTGAAATCTGATTTTTAAAAAATGAGCAACAAATTGTGCTTTGCTGCTAAGAAACGCATGCTTTTTCGCATTTGTATGCATGCATCCATTGGCGGGGGGGGGGGGGAGGAATCAAGGCAAAAGAGTAATGTGTCTTGAGAGAAAAGAAAGGAGAAAGTTAAACCAAACCCTGCTTCTGAACTCAGGCGGCATGAACTTGCAGCTCTGGGTGGGCCCTCTGAGATTCCTCAGGGCACAGCTTGCATCTCTTTCCTGCGAGGAAAGGCACTATAGCCTTCCAGGTCAAGGTCACGTATACCCCTCAGCAACCGCTGTCCTGGGAAGCCCATCTCCTCACACCCACCCAAAGCCGTCTTCCCGGACACCAACCGTTCCTTGAGAAAACGGTCTTCCGCATCCCACATTCCCGAAGTGGGTCTCTAGTTTTAGTTGTTTTGGTCTGTGCAAAACAGGCACTCTCCTCCCCACCAACGCGGCAGCCTTCCTCTCCCCCTTCCTTTTCAGATTTCAACCCCACCTCCCAGGGTCAGAGTTGCCTCACCTTCCCTGCCAAAAGAAGGAATTATTTCTATTTTTAAAAAAAAGCGCGCGCGCGCGCACACACACACACACACACACACACAACCTGCTGAATTGTCCAACACAAGCTGTGCGATCAGCTCTTTGAGGCGTCGGGACATAACAAAACCAAGCTTAAATAAATTATTTATCAAGGCCGAGAAATAATTGATTTGTACGGTGCAGTCTGTTCTGGATTTTATTTGATGACACCCACCCTCCTTCCCATCTCCCACCCCGAATGAGGTGGGAGGAAGCACGCGTTGGAGCCAGGGCTGGGAGAGAGCGCTCCTCATTTGGGAAGTTGGTGGGTGATGTCAGAACAGGAAGACTCCTAATCGATACCTGAAGAGGGAAGGGCGTGCATCCGTGCCGACCCCCGGCGACCCCAGACCACGTCCTGCGCTCTCCACCGAGGCCAACTACACCAAAGGCACCGGCTGCCGAGGCGGCCAAGGCGTGCAGTGCGGGGCCTCGCGGCCTAGGATAAGGTGCCGGTGTGTGACTGACACCTCCCCACCCCAGCCAGGGGTCCGTAACCTTCTGCCCAGAGGTGGAGCCCGGGCATCGCGAGCTCCCGTGAGGCTCCAGCCACCCGGCCAAACGCAGTTCCCACACCAGGGGAGGCGGATCCCATCCGGCCGTGGCCGTGGTCCAGGCCCGTTCAGACACCCTAGTCCACTGTGGCCCAATCCCAGGAGGAGAGGCCCAGCCGTGTGCTCCCGAGGGGGCTCCAGGCACCACGGAGGGCTCAAGAGGGAGCACCTCCCGCGGCTCCGCTTTGGCTCGGCAACCCGGGCTTCACTGCCTAACTGCCCACGCCATCTGCGCAAAGCCAGAACTGACCCACCGCGCGTTCTCTCGCCGCGGTCCCTCATCGTCCCGCTGCTCTCCTTCGAGACAGCCCAGTGGGGGGGTGGGGTGGGGGGGGAGAAAAACCGATTGAGAAAACGGCTCAACACACCCGCCAATCGGAGCGGGCCCTTTTTGGCCGAAGCACTTCTGTTACCCTAGGAAAATGCAGGGCGGATGAAGTGTCCCACCCGACTTCTCCGAACCCGGGGCGCATGCACCTGCAGTTTCCACTTGCCCCAGGCAGTTCTTGGCCTCCCTGATACCCCGCCCGCATGCTAGTTACAAAAACCCGGGCTGTTTCCCCAGAAAACCATGGCTACGGAACCCCAGATTTCAGCGGAGGTCTAGGAGGCGTTAAAGGCCATTCTCTTAAAAAAAAAAAAAATTCTGCATGTAGTCGCGGCAGCGATGCCAGCCACGCAGAATCACTGGGTTCCTAAAATGGTAATTTGGAGTAAAATGTAACTCAAAAGAACTTTGAATCATTCATTAGCACCTTATAATTACTCTGCTAATTAGGTTGACACGGCACTTAATCAGGAGTAATACGCCGTCTTGTCACTGGCACTTTGCATTACTCTGACATTCAACAAGAGACAGGTTGGAGACGTCCTAGAGAAAATAATGCAAGTTGATACCCTCCGCCGAGGCGTCACAGTCACGCTCCGGGTCCCCACGGATCCGCAGTGACTGCCTCCTTTCCACACGCGCGGCCGGCCGACGGGGGCGGGGAAGGGGCCGGCTGCGCGCGGCGCGGCGGGGGCGCAGGACGCCCACCCGCAACCCCAGTCCAGGGCCCGCGCCCGCCAGCCGCCGCTGGAGAACGCCTCGGGCACTAGTTCTCCGGGTTCGGGAGGCAGTGTAGGGCCAGGCCTTTCTTCCAGCACGGGCTCTAGGGAGCCGACGCAGAGTGCCGCGTTTGGGACCCGCGGACCCCGCTTTATCCCTCCCTCCCCCGCAGGGATCCAGCGTCCGCTCGGACGGGCCGAGCACGAGCGAGCGCACCGGCTTCTTGGGGATGGGGGAGAAATCTCAGTTTCGAGTTCGCTCGGCCACCCCTCCGGAACTCTGGCTCCCAAAGCACACTCCTTTCGGGGTGCCGTCGGGGAGGCTCCCGCCTCTGCCCTGGGCGTCCTCGGACCGGTGGAGCGCGCGAGGAGCCGCGATGGAGCCTAAAGGTGAGTGGGCAGGACCCCCGTGCCCCCCCAGCCTTGGGAGTCCTGGACACGTGGTTGGTGGCACTCTCCTCTCCCCTTTCCGCAGCCTCCCCGCACTCTCCAGCTGCTGCCCTCGGCCCTCGCCCGTGCGGTGGGGACCCCGGGACCCGGCGCGCGGCTCGGCCCTGCAGGCGCAGTGCTGTGCCGATGCTCAAAAGAGCAGCGGGGTCCGCGCCGGGCATCTGACGGGCTCGCGAGCCGCGCGCCCATTGGCTCCCGGCACGCCGGCGTCGCTGCCTCGCGCGCGCGCGGCCAATGGGGGCGCGGGGCCCGGCGCGGCCTCGGCGGCGGGGGCGCGGCGGCAGTGGCCGTGACGTCACGGGAGGGGGTCGGCGCCGCCCGCGAGCCACCGGATTACAAGCGGACGCGCCGGGCAGCGGCCGGAGTCGCCCGGCACCGCGCGTCTGCCGCCTGCTCCGCCCGCCAGCGCGCCTGTTCCTTCGCGTCTTCCTCCTCCTCCTCCTCCTCGGGTTGCCGCGGCTACCGCGGCTCTGGGTCTGCTCCACAACTTTCCAAGAAAAGTTCAGAAACTCGGCTCCGGAGCAGCGGAGGGGCTTGTGGCAGGTGCCTCGGGAACCGCCGGGAGCTCCGGGGGACGCGCGGCCTTTAGGGCTTCACCGTCGCTGCACCTGCCACGTCGCCGCCGCCGTTGCCGCCCGGTGCCAGGCTGTGGGCAGACCCAGGCGGCGGCGGCGGTGGCATCGGGGTCGCCTCCTCCCGCCGCCTGCATCCTGAGTCCCTTGCGCCGACTCACTGACCCACGTGCGCGCTGGATCCCGGAGCGCACGAACGGTCCTTGCGTTCTCAAAAAAAAAATTTTTTTTTTGTTAAAAGCTTTCTTCAGGTCTTTCTTCATCCCTACTTTTTCATACGGGGGACAAAGAAAAGTGTCGAAAGTGTCCATCGATTGCACTTCATTATCCTTCCTTTCCCTCCTTGTGTGTAGCCCCCTCCCCCCTTTTTTTCTTAAGCGGCGGCAACATTGTTTAGTGTTGGTTCTGTTTTACAATTGCTAGTTTCCTTTGCTTGTTGCTTGGCTGCTGAACGGTGGAGTGGCGTGGACCTCATGTAGAAATGACAACAATGGAAGGGGCCAGCGGGTCGAGTTTTGGAATAGACACGATTTTGTCCAGTGCCAGCTCGGGCAGCCCCGGCATGATGAATGGAGATTTCCGCTCGCTTGGTGAGGCCAGGACCACGGATTTTAGGAATCAGGCCACCCCGTCCCCCTGTTCGGAGATCGATACCGTAGGAACAGCTCCTTCTTCTCCTATCTCGGTCACCATGGAGCCCCCAGAGCCACACCTGGTGGCAGATGGGCCCAAGCATCACCACCTCCTCCACCACAGCCAACAGCCTGCTGCGGCTCCAACGCAAAGTTTGCAGCCTTCTCCCCAGCAGCAGCAGCAGCCTCCGCCACAGCAGCCGCCGCCGCCTGCCCAGCAGCTGGGCTCGGCCGCCTCCGCCCCCAGGACTTCCACGTCTTCTTTTTTAATTAAGGACATCTTGGGCGACAGCAAACCTCTGGCGGCGTGCGCACCCTACAGCACCAGTGTCTCGTCTCCCCATCACACCCCGAAGCAGGAGAGCAACGCTGTACACGAGAGCTTCAGGCCAAAGCTGGAGCAGGAGGACAGCAAGACCAAACTGGACAAGCGGGAGGACTCCCAGGGCGACATCAAATGCCACGGTGAGTCAGGCGGCTGCTGCAGCCGCCGTCCAGCCCTTCTTCCCTTTCTCCCTTTCCCGTTTTCCCTTTCTCCCTCCAGCAATGTGTCCGATAGGGAACCACTCCCAGGCGACTGGGGCACGGCCTGCCAGCTCCGGGGAGATCTGGGTGATGTGAAGGTGACAGAAGTTCAGTTCATTGTTACCTTGCCACCCCTCAGTCTTTGGCGCCCTGGCAGCTCCTTTCTTTGTTTTACTAAATTTTAACCTGTTCAGGGTAGTGGACAGTGGAAGAGGTGAACTGATGAGAAACGCTTGTCTTTTGTAAAAGGGGCTGAGTTGAGATTTTTCTTGCTGCCTTAAGACTTGGAGAAAGGCAGTGGTGAGGGGGGAGAGGAGAAACGGCCGGCTAGCGGGGTGCCTGCAGCCTGATACAACCTGCGGTTTATTCTTTAATGCAAATGATTTCATACCCTCACCCATCCCATTTTTCACACAACGTCTCAGGAATTATTGGGCTAGATGAAGAAAAAATTCTGAGTTCATTGACAGAACAAGCTTAAAAAAATAGTGATTAACATGGGGAAATTAGTGAAAATTTATAATCAGTTTTTTAAAAAGTCTTTCTTGCTCTAGGGCCTGGCATGAGCATGTATTATCTTAGAAATAGTTTTGGCCCTTTGTAAGCAACAGGGAGGCAGCAATTATAAAAATAAAAATTTTCAGAATTCAAATTTTTCTTCCTAAAATCAGCAGGTGACATTTGAAATTCCCTTTCAGCTCCCTTGTTGTCTGTTTTCTCAGCAGACAATTTCATCAGTAAGTGTTCCTGTTCTTTGCATGACAAAAGCATTCTCACATGCCGGGCGAGTTCTTCTCCCTTGACCAAACAGTTGTTTGATTACTATCCTTAATCTTTGCTTCTCTGGTAAAATGTGCAGGCTGGAAGGTAGAGCGCCAGCTCCTCATTTTACTATTGTAGCATTAGCATAATAGTGTCCAAAACAGATGTACAGTCTGGGCTGGCTATTTTTTTGTGCACCAACCTCCCCAGTGGGTCAATTAGAGAGATTATTGTTCTTCCTGCAGGGAAGATCAAGGGACACTGCACAAACGGGTACAAACAGAGGGATTGACATATCGATTTCCCAGCATTTCAGTAAAAAACCAAAGTTGACAAATAGAATCCGGAAATCTCTGAGCTGACACCTGGATGGGCTCAGTGATTCTGAGGCCGCCTGCTTGGTGTTTGGGTGACACACTCTTTCTGAAGCTTTGAAACACCGGGTGCAGAACGGCTGATTCCAACATTTCTCAAGTACGTCTGGAAACGCAAAATGAATGCCTGCGACTTTCAGCAAGCAGAAAAAGTAAAATTAAAGGCACCCCTTTGTCGTGACAGAGGGAGATAGCAGCGTAGAAAGAGCCTTTGAAAAGTATCAAATCAGAAAAGTAAAAACAATACAGAAAAGAGAAAATGCAGCAACAAAAGAACCACCGAGGGTTCACATGTGTACTTTGTCCTCCAGTTCACTGCATAGGGATAGATGGTTGTGGAGGTCAGATATTCTTCTGCAATTCTTTTAGGACCTCTGCCTGAGACCTCCCATTCCACCCCATCCCACCTAACCTACCCTCCCCTGAAAAAAAAGGAAAAGTCCTTGTCCTCCATACTGGCTGAGGCCCAAGTACGTGCATGTGGCAGGGGTGGCAGAGGATAGCTCCCTGGGACCTGAGACCCGGCCGGCTTGGGAACGTGGATGTGTCTGCCAGGTGGACGTTTGTTTGCTGGGTCCCCAGTGCAGACTAACTTACAAGGCTGTGTCTGGTGGGTTTCTCTCATAGGAACAAAGGAGGAGGGAGACAGGGAGATTACTAGTAGCCGAGAGAGTCCCCCTGTGAGAGCCAAGAAGCCTCGGAAGGCCAGGACGGCGTTCTCTGACCACCAGCTCAACCAACTAGAGCGTAGCTTTGAGCGGCAGAAGTATCTGAGCGTGCAGGACCGCATGGACCTGGCAGCTGCACTGAATCTCACCGACACTCAAGTCAAGACCTGGTACCAGAATCGCAGGTAAGGGAAGCTGTTGGGCAAGCAGAAGTCAGGGCCATCGCACCTAGTGGCTTCCCTCCTGGCCTTTGGACACTATGGACTAAGAATCTTAGGGCCTTTGAGTAGGGGCAGGGAATGAATAGCCAATGCTCCAAGAAGAGGGAGCCAAGGGCAGGTGGAGTTTGGATGATTTTGTACTCCTAGGAGTCTTAACAGGTGATCCCCTTTCTTTGTATCGTGAGCTGATGGAATCCCCTGCACTGTGTCCCCGAATCAATTAAGCCACCTCTTCTCAAATTGAGATATCTACACAGCTGACAGTGAGGTCCCTCAGAGTTCCTGGGCACCCCCACCTGGGCCAGCCCAGGGCTGGTTCCAAATGTGTGTTGCTCCCCCCGCCCCTACCTACTCAGCCTGTCCACCACACTCCCCAGGAGCTGTCCCACCAGCTTCCACTGTAGTATCCTCCTTTGGGTCTGGGAAGTGGCCAGCAAAGGCAGGGTCAGAGCCTGCCCTGGTCTGTGGTACTGAATTGGCCACCGAAACTAGATGAGCCCGGCTGGGTTGTAGTTGCGATGGCAGCTGCAGGCTGGCTAAGTCTGCAGACCCTGCGTCTGTCCTGGGTGCTGGTTACCTGGGCTGTTGGCAGAGGGAGAAAGGGGGCTGGCACAGCTGCTTCTCCTGTGGAAGGAGGAAACGTGGGAAGCTGCGGCAGCACCATCAGGGCTTGACCCCAGGGGAACAGAACCGGGGTGCTCTGAGCCAGAGGGACCTCATCCCCAAGGTAGCGCTGCCCCCTCCTTTGGTTCCTGCCGTTTGTGTTCTAATTGTCCATAAGTGCGGTTGGAAATGCCCATCCAGTTGTCATCTTTACCATAATTTTCTGTCTCATTACATACGGTTTCAGCCACCCTAATTCTGTCGGAAAACATTAGTGTCATTTGTAGCCAATTTAAAATGGACGACATGTTTATTAATTTGGCTGGAGCTGCTGCTGGGTGGGGAGAGCCCACCAGCCCTTCCTGCATTAGGCATTGCGTGGGAGGCCTGCTCCCCTCCTTTTTGGGAGAGGGGCTGTGCTGTGGTGGGGAGGCAGCGGGTGAGGAGAGCAGATCACAGGTTTTAATTGTTACTTTCTCCCGCAGGAGGAAATATCTTGAAACACATCCCCCTCCCCCTCCCCATGGCCCCGAGGCACTACCCCCTTGGGAAGAGCCTCCCTCCAATGGCTTCCCAGTTTTGAACCCAGTTGCCCTCCTGGCCCTAAGCTCCCTGTCCCCTGGAAGAGGTCCTGTCTGGCTAGCTACCGTCTTCTTTGCACCCCTGGGCGCTGGGAAGGGCTGGGGCCATTCTGGTCCCAGTCCCAGACCCAGGCTTCGCTGCTTCCCTTTGTTTACGCTTTCAGTTTCGGTTCTGGGCCCTGGGGATAGGGGTCGGCTGGGGCTGGGACTGAGTACAGACCCTTTGGGATTATTGAGAGATTTAGCCGCAGGGGAATTAGGGAAGGGGGGGTGAGGGAAATAAGGGGTTTCCCTCGGACCCTTGGGAAAGTTTCAGCAAGTAGCCTAACTGTGTGGGACCCAGCCAGGGAGCAGATGGAGCAGAAAAAAAGGCCAAGGTGCTGAGATTTCGAGTCTCAGGCCTTGGTGGGGGTGTTGGGTGCAGAATTAAATTTGCCCTGGCCTGGGTGACTCTTTAGGGGACCAGGCTGTTCCCTGAGCTCTCCTCGCAGGGCCTTGCAGCTGGGAGGTGTGGAGGGGGAGAGACAGAAGAGAACCACAGCCTGCCGCGGGGTGGAAGCCCCCAGCAGCTGAGCACCCGGCGCCCCGCTGTCTTTTCCAGGACCAAGTGGAAGCGGCAGACCGCCGTGGGCCTGGAGCTGCTGGCCGAGGCAGGGAACTACTCGGCGCTGCAGAGGATGTTCCCGTCGCCTTATTTCTATCACCCTAGCCTGCTGGGCAGCATGGACAGCACCACGGCGGCGGCGGCGGCCGCTGCCATGTACAGCAGCATGTACCGGACTCCTCCTGCACCTCACCCCCAGCTGCAGCGGCCCCTGGTGCCCCGTGTGCTCATCCACGGCCTGGGGCCTGGGGGACAGCCGGCCCTCAACCCCTTGTCCAACCCTATCCCGGGCACCCCGCATCCCCGGTGAAGGGAGCAGGAAGGCGCTGCCATCCCCCGCCCCACCCGCCGCCCCGGCCGGGACAGCTGCCCCCTTCTTTTTTCAAGCCTCCCTAGCAACTGACCCTGGGAGGCCGAGGAGTTGAGAGAGGAAGAAGGTCTTCCGTGGGCTTGGGGGCCCCTCCCCCCAAAGAGGATGGACAGCCCTCTGCTGCCCGGCTTTCCCCCAGTCCCCCAGACACAATACAGACCTGGAAAGCTCCGCTACACCAGTGTGACTGGCGGAAAAAAAAAAAAAACGCTGACCCTACATAAAGTGCGACCAGTAAGTGAAAACATCGATGAAAACAAAAACCTCAATTTTTTTTTAAACGGCTTTGGGGACAAGCAGGCGGGAGGGAGGGGGAGGGCTGAGGAGGGAAGAAGGAAGGACAGGAGAGGAAGCGGAGCAGGCAGAGAGAGCTGCACACAGCCGGGACAGCCAGACCACAAAGTGCGGAGGCATTGAGCGCGTTCGTAGAGTGGATCGGAGAAAGCAAGAGGGTAACAGGAGAACTTTGCACTGATTTCTCATGACCTTTTTTCTTTTGGAAAAGTGGCATGCTCCATACTAAGTAAAAAATGTACATTTGAAAGACTGAGTGATAAGTGATATATCATATTTATTATATGTTGTTCAAAAAGAGTCACTTATATACGTTAGTAAAAACATGACTTTTTTCTTTTTCATGTCTTTTGGATTCAGTAAAATAAATGCTTAGACAAAAGATATAGATTTTTTTGTGATTGAAGATTACAAAAAATAAAGTTTATCTTTTTTTAACAACCAATGAAATCCAAGGGAGCTGATTTTACTGAAGCAGAATGAACCGTGATGAACTGTGCGACTTGACTTGGAAAAGGAGCCAAATCCCTACGCACGTGTGTTAGGAATTCACAGACTGTAAAACAGACTCTGGGCTGGCTTGTACGGAAACAGCTCCGCGTTCTGCGTTCCGCGTTCCGTACAGGCCGCCCTGAGTCGTTCTAAGACAGGTGCGACTTTCTTAGCGGACGTCCCGGCGCAGCCCTCGGGGACCAGCAGAAAGTGTGCGCTTGCAGCCTGTTGGTGCCGGTCCAGCTGCACGGCCAGCGGGCAGCCGGCTGGCCTCCTCGCCCCAGGAAACCCCAGCCGGAGCACGTTAGGGGAATCTCTCTGTGGACCCCTCCCCCTTCTAGGGCTCCTCCGGGACGGCTGGGGTCCCAGCGCCGGGCCGTGACATCCAGGGGCCGTGGCGGCCGGTGGACGCTCCGTGGGCCTCGCAGCTGTTCTGCCGCCTGCGGCTGGGCGCCCGCGCCGCCGGACAGCCTGTGAGCGAGAGTGTCGGGCGAGCAATTAGGACGCCCTGGGGGATGTGCAGAGGCCGGGCTAACAAACCCTAGTTGCTGCTTTGATCCTGAGCTTCTCAGGCCCCAGCGGGCAGCCGGGGTGTCCAGCCGCCAAGCCCCACACGGAGGCTCTGGTCCTAGTGAGCTCCCGATACTGTGATGTCTGGATTGGGGAGGCAACGCCCAGCTGGCCGGCTCACCTCCCAGCTCAGGGTTCAGGACTGTGCCCGGGAACAATCTGGAAGGGGGTGGGGGTGGGGACTGCTGCCGGTGCTCTCCAGCCCCAGGTCTCTTCCAGCGCAGAGAATGGGATTCCCCCATCCGGTGTAGTCACTTGTTTTTAATCCTCGCTTCTTCCCCAGGACTATGATAAAAGGGTAAACTGCGGAGTAGGGGTAGGGAGGGTGTGGGGAGAGCGGCCGGAGATCTGACCTTCAACTTTTGTCTGGTGCAGAATCTAGCGGACTTAAAAATTGCTTTAAAAAAATAAAAAAGGAAAATAGAGAGTGGTGTGGGGAATATATGTTGAGGAGGGATGGGAAGGAAGAAGGAGAAAGGAGGTGAAATCCATGAGGAAATTGCCTCAGGCGCCTTTATCAGACCTTGGCTAATTAGGGAGTGGTTTGCAGATTTCTCTCCAGCTCATCAATTTGCTGTAAAAAAATGGTCTTGGTCTTGTTTGATTCTAACAAAAGGGTCTGGACTGGCCCTTCTCATTTTCTGCCTGCTGAGCTGGGACAAACTCAGCTGGGCTTGGATGGAAACTGGGTGCCTGACAAACGACACACTCCCTTGCTCTGCTGTAGCTGCAGTTGATTTTTTTTTAAAATGAAGTTTAAATAGTTCAACAATGGTCTTGTCTGGACCTGAAAAGGGCACTTTCTGAGCATTGAAGGTGCTACAGCATCTGTCTGTACTGGGGGTTGATGGGCAGGCTGGTCAGCCCTGGGCGCTACAAGGGCCTGGCAGATAACCAGACAAAAAATTCCTAGCAAAGATGACTTCAGATCCAGGTAGTGAACACACAAAGGAGCCTGCTAATCCAAACAGGGCCACAGCCCACCCTGCTGGGGATTGTGTACCACTGCCTCTTTATGCTCCAGGTTTAATTTGGGATCTCCTGGGTGGACACGTGGGAAGCACTAGGCCCACAGAGACCAAGGTGTCTTAATCTGGACTTCCACCGTTGAGGGCGGTTAGAAGACCCTCTCCTCCAGCGTGCTTTTCCTGAAAGCCATTTTTTTTTTTTTCTCACTCCAATCATTCACCTGAAACTGTTGACTTGTGGTTGCATACAGGTCGGCAAATTGGAGTTAGGGAGGTTATCCAGGGAAGGAAGTTGAGTGCTGGATGCTTTCTTCTCTCTCTCTTTTTGGTGTCCCCCTCTTCCCCATAGCATTTCTGCAAAGAGCACCTGCTGTGTCCTGATATTGGAAAGTCCCCAACTGGTACCTAAAAGTCAGATGCAATTCCAGTGCTCTTCCTCAAAAGGAGTCCTCAGGCCTTCAGTGCCTGGCCAGCCCACAGGTCAGGAAAGCAACGCCAGATTCCTTCAGAGGAGAAGATAGCATGCAAAAAGCCTTTCGCAAGGCGACAAGATTCAGAGGCCTGAGGGTGGCTATTGCAAGCCTGCACTTCTTTTTCCTTTCCTCACCTTGAACTGGCATTAGTCTTTGGTCTGTTTGAGTTGGAGGTTGGCAAAATGTGAACTTTAATATTAATCTTCGCTTCTCATACAAAAACAGCAACTTGTTTCACAGAGGTGTGTAGATATCCACTGAGGTTGCTGAGATTTGCTCACGGGTCATCAGCTCAGGGACCCCAGCAAGCCTAGGAGTGGGTGAAGGAAGAACTGTAGTCAAGAAGCCAGCTGTTCCAGCCCAACCCCTGGATTTTCAGTGAGTTGCAAAGTAATGATGGCTGCTTCACGCCTTCAGCAAATATACCTACCACCCCAGCTTATTTTTGCTCCACCCCTTAAAAGGAAAGCCCACACGATGGCAAATTAGACAGCCAGTTTCCTCTTGTTGCAAATAAAACAGCTCATCCTGAAATCAAGTGCTCCCTCCTCCTTCCTCCCTTCTTTCCTGCCATCTGACTCCTGCCTGGCAGCCCTTCCCCAGGAGTCTGGAATCCCACCTCCCCTCTTGAAACCTGGCGCTTGTGAGTAGTTTGTTTTTGTTATATTTTTAACTTTCTAAAAATATTTGGAAAAGCTCTCCCCAGGGCTAGGGAAACTTTAGTTCTTGTTAAGCCACGTGGTTACAGAGAAACCGTGGAAGGGTGTTTGAAAGCCATGGCTTGAAGTCAACATGCTTGCAGAGAAACCGACTTTTATTTCCGGCGGGCTCCTTCAGGGGGTAGGGCCAAAGCCTGGGGACTAGGGAGAGATGATGCTTCCTCGATGGCTCTGAATCCTTGGGAATCCTCTGGGCGAGGGCAAGCTGGCGTCCCGACGCCCTGGCTGTGGCTGAGGGAGCTGTGGGCGCAGGGGTGAGCTGGAGCTCTTCCATGGTTGCCTTGTGGATGCTGGCATGGCATCGCCAGTTCCCTAAGTCTCCCACAAGATCTTTGTCCAGTCCTACTTCCTTGGCCATGTCCAGCCTTCCTCTCTACCACGTGTGCCTTTTTTCTGGAGTAGGCCGAGTGTCCCATCCCTGGGGTTGCGGAGGGGTGAGTGTGTGGGGTGTGAGACGCACTTCCAGGGCAAGGGCCGTTGTCACTGGCCTCTCACACGGAAAACCAGGTCAGCAGCCTCGGGCGGATGAGATGACCCAGAAAAGACTGTTCCCCTCCCTCCTTCGGGCTGCATTTTGGAGGAAAGTCTGTCATTCTGAGTGTTGTGGGTGGGCCGTCTTCGGTCCGCTTTGCATTCTCAGTTTCTCTGCGGTGTCCCGCGCACCGTCTCGCCTTAGCACCACAGACAGCTCCCCGGACTCGGGGCGGAGCGCGCGGGGAGCCGAGGCCGAGCCCGGGCGGCCGCAGGGGGCGCGCGGGGGAAGCGTCCGAGGCGCCCCCGCCGGGGAGGTCGGCGAGGCGACAGAGCGCCAGCCCCGGCGGCGTGTCCTGCCTAGCCAGGAGCCCAGGCGGGGGTCACAAGCCGAAGAACGAAATCTTCAGATCAATAAAGTCATTAAAAAAAAACCCGAAAGATCTTGGGGTAAGTAGTGCTCCGAGACAGATCAACTCTAAACCGCCCCTATTTAATAAGTTCTTAAGAGGCGGCCGACTGGGGAGGAGCGAGGCCTGCGGCCGGCTGCGCCCCAGTCCCGGCGCCAGGTCGTTCGTGAACCGCGCTCCGCGGCGCTCTTGCCCGCGCGCGCCCCACAGCCTCGGGCCCGGGGAGGCCCGAAGAAGCGCTGCGGAGGCGGCGAGCCCGCACGGGCCCCCGCGCCGTGAGCCGAGGCCCGGACTGCCTTTCCGTGCCCCCACGCCGCGGCATTAGGATTTGTCCGGCTCCTGTTACTCTCGGCCCTGGACAGTCAGTCGCCCCTGCCGCGGAGCTCCCCGGAAACAACCGGACTTTGGCAAGCGCCGGGTAGAACTTGATTTTCAACAGTGCCTTGCCACTTGGTCGAGCTGAGGGACTCCAGCCCGCTCCCCACGGCCGCCCCCGGTCCTCTGACTGGAATGTGGGGGCTCGGAGGCCCGCCGAGAGGCCGGCTCCGCGTTCCCGTGCGGGCTTCGGCGCCGCGGCCTCGGCTGCTGCTGCGTGCCGGGCCCGGGCGGGCTGCAGCGGCGGGCGCACCCCGCAGGGCCTCCGCGCTCTTCTGCCCGGGGACGGGGCGATGCGGGGGCCGGCGCCCCAAGACCCGCCGCAGGAATGCGGGCGCTAGGGCTGGCTTGGACGGCGGGCCCTGGAGGAGGAGGGGACGGGAAGCCTTCCGGGGCAGACCGCACAGCCGTCGTGGCGCACAAGCAAGCTCCTGTGGTCTGCTCACAGGCCTGGCGGCGGACGACAGTCCTCCCGGGCCTCGCTTCAGCTCTCTCAAGTGCGCGCGCCCGGGGAGGCCCCATCCCCTTCCTCCCTGGCTCTCGGCCAACTCTTCCTGGGTCGGAGTGGAAGGGATGGGAGCTCCACCTGAGGTTTGGGAAATGGCTGGCGTTTGCAGTTTGAGCACTACAGGGCTACCCCACCAAGCCTCCGGGGGCTGGAGAAGATGCTCCGTCGTGCCCTCTGCATGCGAAACGGGGAGGTTAGTGTTGTTCCCGGCGTTTCGCCCTGAGTTGCTTCCTGTGGCAGTGTGGTGCCCAGGTTCCCGCCATTCCCAGTCTGAAAAGTTGGAATGCCTGGGAAAACCGTCGCGTTCTAAATCCAAATGAATGGCTGCCCGAGTGGGGGTGGAAGTCGGTGCGACTCACTGCTTGCAGGAGGGAAAGGCAAGCTGTTGGGTGGGGTTGTCCCTGCAAGGGTCTCCCACGGCAAGGAACCACGCGTGGGCTCTTGTACACAAGCTC